TTTTTTTTTTTTTTTTTCCTCGCGAAAAATGGCGAAAGATAGGTGGCGTATTAAAAAAAAATGATACTCGAACCCACGACCTTTTACAAATGAAAGAGATGCTCGACTCTATCCACTTAGCTCATGATGCGACATCATATATAAAACAACTATATGACTCGTCTAAGTTTGGTGATTCGAGACAAATCGCTTAGCTCGATAGCTCAAGTTGGTCGTTGAAGATTACAACTCGAGCATAGTAAAATTTTCCTAATATACATGATTTTGAAACCAATAAAGTCATTCTAATGGGATGAGGGTAAATAAAAAGACTTCAATTAAGCTAATATTAGACAAATCTAACGGTTAGGTAGCTACAATTTTCAATAAATAGACATACTTTTAAATTTAATTTTTCATATTCTAAGAAATAATATTAATAAAAGTATAAAATTTTCATAATATAAGTACACATTTTTGCTATAAAGGCATGATCGATCGACCTAACAGTATTAGATCGCATCATACAAAAATTTGTAAAAATACATAAGAAATTCCCATCTTTTTATTCATACCCCAAACCCAAAATGAACAAACCAATTCATTTATATAATGAGTACATTTATAAATATGAAGCAAATAATATGGAAATCATGTATGCCACTAGAAATGTATGTGGCCATATATATATGTAATATGTCACACTTTGTCAATTATTAGTGCCAAGATTGGCCATCACATGCACATGCAAGAAAAGAACCAATTTATACTTGTTAGGGCATGTTATCAATTAATTCCCTTATGCAATTCTTCACAAATGCAGAATTATTTGAATCACATAGCCCTATATGTATATACATATTGAACAGTGTGCACAATTATTGGACTTAGATCACCTTATATAACATTTTGCTCTTATGAGTTGCTACAATTTTCTTTTGGCTGGACCAGATAGGAACACAATTGATTATAGTCCTCCCAAAAAAAAAGCAATCCGTGTTACCATACAAATTATCACATCAATTTAATCTCGAGCAGTTATCGAGTCGATCTCGATCAGAAGTTTTGGAACACAACTCAAAATATGTGGTGAATTACTGAAGTACCTCTTAATGGTAAATTTACTTGAAATTTGAGTCCAAGTCGAGTTGAACTCAAGCAATCTTTCGAGCATTTTGATTTCAATCAATCTCGAGTCGAGCTCGAGCAATTTTTTTTCATTTGTCGAGTTGATCTCGAGCGTCACAAATCGAGCTCGAGCAGGTAAAAAAAAAATTAATGTTGCTACAAAATTAAATTATATGACTCATTGGTGGTTGATGAATATGATACGCGAGGCTTAGTTGCATCCCATACAAATGCTGTGACAAAAAACCACCTATAAAGTACAAGTGTGAAATGGATTTCGATCTTTACAGATAACATGGGCTATAATTTAACTAAAAAACAGGCTTTAAAATCGTTGCTTGACCAAGTGGGCTCTATCCAGTAATTGGACTAGGCCCCGAAATATTATTACCCTGGAGCCCAATTGAACTCAACATGATCACGAGTATTTTCAATTTTCCGTGTTTAAGTCAACACATCCATTTGTTTATTAATCATAATAAAAAGTTGTGACAAATTATTTAATAAATTGGGTTTTTCTACTAAATTAAAAATCTAATTTTAGTTTATTTATTTTAATTTGATATATCGTATGTGAAGAATGGATAATCTATATATATTGACAGAGGTTGATAAAATAATCTAAAATAGTAACTTTGACTTTCTAGTTAAATAGGTTGACTTACTATAAAAAGAAATATAGTAAAATTATTTTTATATTAACAATAGAAAATAAAAACTATATTAACCTGTTGTAAATTGTTCTATCCGATTAATAGCAGGACTGTTATAAACTTTGAAAATTATTTTGTTATAAATATTATCGCAATAAAAAATTGATTTATTTCATATTAATTACGAAGCACTGCACTTTTTATTCTTTTGATAATCATCCATACGACATTTATTAAAAAAACATATATTAATTATATTTCGTCTTTATAAAATATTATTTCAATGTTCACAATCAGATTGCAAATATCATGACAAAATAAAAATTGATAATCAATTATGAATTTTTTTTTTGATATCTATTCAATGTTACAATTGAATTTTATTTTTCAATATTAATAAAATTACAGTGATTTTTTATTTACTTGGTAACCAAACATATACTAAAATATTTGTTATCGTATGTTTAGAAAATTATTTAATCGAGAGAATTAGTTTAAAATCCTTTTATTTGTTAATAACTCAATCGTTTTAGTTTTTTAAAAATTATAAATTTATTTTTTCAAAATATGAAAAGAAATTAATTTAAGTATTTATCATTAATAACAAATCATCTTTATCCTTAATAACAAATAATGTGTTCTTCTATTTTGTTCGGTATATGTAGATCAAAATATGC